TTCAGCAGGTAAAACCAAAAAAAAAATGGATCTTTTTTTAACAGATTTGGTTTTGGACCCTTTTTAATGTTGGATTTGGTTTTAGACCCTTGTTCTTGGAGCCGTTTCAGTTCCAAAACTATGGGGGAATCTGAAGAGGTTTAACCTTTGTTTTTAATGGAGCAGGTGATACCATTCGTCGTAGGTTGTCCAGCTTGCTTGAGGAACTTCCTGAATGTTTTCTGCGAACTCTCGTGCTCCCCCGACCAGAGCCTATTTATCAATGTAACTTCTGTTGCAAAGGTAAAGAATTCGGAAACAACCGTTAAATTGTCATCTCTGCTCTGTTTATGGAGAAAATTTGTGGAAGATGATTTTGTGTTTGTGTTCAGGTCAAGAATAATTCCACTGTGGATTCTATCGAGTATTATATAACCGATGCTTTCGGAGAAGGTTTGTACCAATCCTGCCAGGATGTGAAATTCGGTAGCTCAAATAGCCGGGCTCTGGAATTTATTGGAGCCGGGGCAAAGGATTTTAGCGGTAGGCGAATCCGATCCGTTAACATTTGGCATTTTGATGTGTTTGGAGGATAGTTTGATGTAGTTTTACAGGGGAATAACCCGAGTGTACTCGTTATTTGCAGAGTGGTTTGCGTTTATCGGGCAGAAAGCCGATCTAGACGTGCCAGGTTCACCGTTCGAGATCAAATTTCTGACAACAACACTTCCCGAGACATCTGTAGTGAGGCCGATGAATCTGTCTACTTATTCCTGTTCCGACAATGCTCTTGGATGTTCTTGTGGTGATTGCCTTTCTGCCCCTGCTTGCTCCATTTCTACTGCTTCACCTCCTACTCAGAAAAAACAGTCCTGTTCCATCAAAATCAGATCTCTCGAGGTGAATATTCAAATGTTTGTATGCTCGTTATTTCGAAGGCTAATCTAGGATTAACATTTTGGTTTTAAACTTGCAGGCAAAATGCGTTGATTTCTCTCTAGCCGTTCTTTATATCGTGTTGGTTTCGCTGTTCCTTGGAGGGGGTTTGCTTCACCGAACAAGGGAGACGAAGAACGCCTTCGGAATGAGACCGTTGTCAAACGCAGAAGCTGGTGAAGACCAAACTTCTGTTAAACCACAGAAGGCAGACACTATCCGTATGCAGGTCTCTTCTTTCTTAGTCTTTTCTGTTATCGTTCTAGATTTGTCGGTAAATACATTCAGTTGGAATCATGTCTGGTTGATCCGGTTGAGGTCTTTGATAATTCTTATTTGTTTGTTTTTCTCCCTTTCTTTCGGCTTTTTTCAGATGCTGCAAGGTACTCCTCAGCGAAACTGGGCTCAGCTTTCGACGGTTCAAGGATACATGGCCGATTTCTACAGGTTATTTTCGATTTTTACATTCAATTTCTTCCAAGAAGAATGCCAACAAACATCGCTGAGATATGTTCTTGTTTTTTTTTCCAGGAGGTATGGAGTTTGGGTGGCAAGACACCCAACCCTTGTCCTGTGTTCATCAGTTTCTGTAGTTCTTCTGCTTTGTGTCGGTCTGGTTCGTTTCAAAGTGGAGACGCGGCCTGATAAGGTAGCCATCTCGATTTCTTCCTTTTTTACAACTGTTATATCCTTGTTCTAATTACAAGAAATGCTGCCATAGAACCTTATCCGGGATTCATATAAGATGTTGTTTCCGGTTTGATTCAGTTATGGGTAGGCCCGGGAAGCAGAGCCGCCGAAGAGAAACAGTTCTTTGACACCCATCTAGCTCCTTTCTACAGAATTGAACAGGTTGGTAAATTTTATCAGTTAGTTAGAGTTTCGTCTGCCTCGAGTTATTTCCAACGGGATGTTTTAGTTCTTGTGATATCTGTTCATGCTATGGATGGGTTTTCAACATTACAAATTCCTCTTTTGTCTGATAGTATAAGTTTCAGACATAGCTAAACTGGTCTTACTCAATTCACAATGTATGTTTTTTTTCTTCATATTCCCTCCCTGTGTTGGATTCATTGTACAAAATTCTGATTCTTGGCGATTTCCTGCAGCTAATACTGGCAACAGTTCCGAATTCTGGTGATGGCAAAGCGCCGCCAATTTTGACAGAAGACAATGTTAAGTTACTTTTCGATATACAAAAGAAGGTACCCGGCTTTCTCACTACTATTGATTCACAATCCGTCTGGTTACCCCGCCGACGTAAGGTTCTTTATGTTTTCGTGTATCGGATGTCTGAAAATGGGTTTGATACGTGGTAGGTTGATGATCTCCGGGCCGATCACTTAGGCTCAACGATATCTCTGACAGATATTTGCATGAAACCACTCGGCCAGGACTGTGCCACACAAAGCATTCTGCAGGTTTGCTATCTTTCCCCCTCTGTTACGATAAATCCTGCATATCGAGCTTTTTACCTATCGATTGACGAAAATCCCAAATCGTTCTTGTTGGATTTTCTCGTCTCTGGTGCAGTACTTCAAGATGAAACCAGAAAACTACGATGACTTTGGAGGCGTAGATCATGTCAACTATTGCTTTGAGGTATGCAGTAAAAATATGTTTTCTTATATTTCATGTGTTCTTACTTCAAGATCAAGACGTATATTCTGCTAGTTGGCTATTATTAATATCAGTCACCATCATTTCCTTCAGCATTACACCTCGGCCGAAACATGTTTGAGTGCTTTTAAGGGTCCCCTTGATCCGAGCACTGCACTCGGAGGTTTCTCGGGGAGCAACTTTGACGAGGTAGTAATCTCTCGATTTGTTAGAGAAACCCGAGAGAGAGAGCTGAAGAGTTCATTTGAGTATATCTAATGCCCTCCTAATCGACATGTTTAAGACAGGCCTCTGCATTTTTAGTGACTTATCCCGTCGACAACGCGGTTGACAACGAAGGTAACAAAACCGGAAAGGCGGTTGCATGGGAGAAAGCCTTCATCCAGTTGGCAAAGGTTCGGAATTTCGAACCCAAAACAAAACCATGCGACCTTAATACTGCCGTCTTTTGTTTCACACCACCCTTTATGCGACAGGACGAACTGTTGCCGATGGCTGAATCTAGAAACTTAACGCTTACTTTCTCCTCGGAAAGCTCCATTGAGGAAGAACTGAAAAGAGAAAGCACAGCAGATGTCATAACTATAGCTGTGAGTTTTCTTACTATGATCTTTGTTATTTTCGATTTATGATTTGTGCCCGGAATCCCCTTTGTATTGAATTGTCCCGTTTTATCGATCTCAGATCAGCTATCTTGTGATGTTCGTCTACATCTCGCTTACTCTCGGTGATCCGCCTCGGTTAAATTCCTTTTATGTTTCATCCAAGGTGTGATCATGATTCACGGTTTTCTCTTACGGTTTACCTTCATAGCCTTGTACCGTGTTATAGCATGTAGCTTTCTCAATTTCAGGTTATGCTTGGGTTATCCGGTGTTGTCCTTGTCATGCTATCTGTTCTTGGTTCAGTGGGGTTCTTCAGTGCTTTTGGGGTGAAATCCACTCTGATTATAATGGAAGTTATACCATTCCTGGTTTTGGCTGTAAGTATTTACGCCATTGTTTCTAATACTTTCTGCTAAAGGCACAGTCGAAGTTCTTGAACTCGCCCTCGAGTGTTTCCTCTGCTTGTGAACGCGATCTTGATTCCAGGTCGGCGTCGATAATATGTGCATATTGGTGAACGCTGTTAAGAGGCAAGAGCAAGAGTTTAACTTGGAAAGACGGATAAGCAATGCCCTTATGGAAGTCGGACCGTCGATCACTCTCGCCAGTTTATCCGAGATTTTGGCATTTGCGATGGGTGCTTTCATCAGAATGCCGGCCGTTCGAGTGTTCTCCATGTTTGCCGGTCCGTTTTTTTGGTCGTGTATTTATACTAATTCCTCGACTTTTTTCCCTTCTGGTTTTTGTTATAACCTGACTGTGCTTTTCGGGTCTGCAGCATTGGCTGTGCTCTTGGACTTCATCCTGCAAGTCACTGCTTTTGTTGCCGTGATAGTTTTGGACTTTGTACGCACGGAGGATAAACGGGTGGATTGCTTCCCCTGTTTTAAGGCTTCTCAATCATCGGATGTCGTTAACAAAGGTTTAATCCGCGTTTTTACGTTCTTGTTTTTCATGTTTTAGCTCTTCTTCTGCTAAAAAACTGAACGAAGGGGTCTTGTATCGGTTTCAGGGGTTGTTGATCAGAGGAAAGCCGGACTTTTGACTCGATACATGAAGGTATCTCGCTTGTTTGGTCTACAGAAAATCTCGTAAATGTTGATCTGTGATAAAAATGTAACTTTGAGTCTTCATTATCTACTTTCAGGAAGTCCATGCTCCCATTCTAAGCCATTGGGCTGTCAAAATACTGGTTATTGCCTTCTTCTTTGGCTTGGCATTGGCTGGAATCGTGAGTTGATCCATTTCCCGGCCTATATGAACCTAATAGTATCCGTTCAGCTGTTTGAAACTATCAATCATCTCGTAATTTCCGTGTTTGCAAAATGTGCAGGCGTTGTCCACTCGGATCGAGCCCGGGCTGGAGCAACAGATCGTCCTTCCTCAGGACTCATATCTTCAGGTTTTAACTTCGGAAAATCCTACCGATGAAAAGTTCATCGCATCTAAATGTATCTTATAAGTGTGCATCTCTTTCGTTTAGGGGTATTTCAACAACATTTCTGCATATCTTCGCATTGGCCCGCCTGTATATTTCGTCGTGAAGAATTATAACTACAGGTATCTTATCTTATTGGTTTGCTTTCCTCGGTCTCGGCAAGAGTTTGTCTGAAATAATCTTTGTTCTGAATTAATACCGAACCTAACTTTTCGTTCATGTCTTCAGCTCGGAATCGATACAGACAAATCAACTTTGTTCCATCAGCCAGTGTGATTCCAGTTCTCTTTTGAATGAGGTATGTAGCTGTCTGTATCTATTTTAATGGCTGTATTTGGACCCCGAATCGAATCTGTATCTACTGCAATCTCTCTAAAACTATTCCATCGATCCATCTGATATCGACACACTTATTTTTCGTTAGATCCGTAGTTTTCGGCTGATTTCCTTTCTTTTCATCATATCTGCTGCTTCAAGTCTGTTGATCATTGCTGACACGGAGTTTCGGGTGCTTGTAGATTTCAAGAGCTTCATTGACACCAGAAGCAAGCTACATAGCTAAGCCGGCCGCTTCATGGATCGACGACTTTCTGGTGTGGTTATCTCCCGAAGCATTCGGATGTTGCAGAAAATTCACAAATGGTACCTTTTGCCCTCCTGATGATCAGGTAAGAGAGACCATCATGTATAACTTCCAACATCTGTTCATAAGACTTATGATTGTGTTTCTTGGTTTTTAGCCTCCTTGTTGCCCTCCTGATCAAACCACTTGTGGTCTGAGTGAAGTATGCAAAGATTGCACCACGGTAAATCGTTACCGTTCCTCGCTTTCTTCCTTGTCAACGCTCAAGGAACATGAATAACGACTTCTCTTCTTTTTCCGGTTTATACAGTGCTTCCGTCATGCTGACTTGAGTAACGATCGTCCTTCCACTACGCAATTTAGGGAGAAACTTCCTTGGTTCCTCGACGCT